GGAATGATGGGGTGTTGCAGATACAGGGTTGGATTTGTGTGCCCAATGCGGATGGGCTACGTGAGTTGATTCTTAAAGAGGCCCACGGTTCGTGGTATTCCATTCATCTGGGTGCCGCAAAGATGTATCAGGACTTGAGGCAGCACTATTGGTGGAGGAGGATGAACAAAGATATAGTAAGGTTTGTAGCTCGATGCCTAAATTGTCAGCAAGTAAAGTACGAGCATCAGAGGCCGGGCGGATTGCATCAGAGGCTTGAGATTACGGGGTAGAAATGGGAGTGTATCACCATGAACTTTATAGTTGGGCTCCCACTAAGTTCGTATCGTATTTTAGGACTTGTTGGCATATTTTGTTGAGGTCCTGGGGGCCTCGGGTGTGATTCGGATCATGTTTGGCGCATTTTGAACTTGGAGGGACTGCTGATTTTTTATGCTGTTGGTTTCCTTATACGCGATTGCAAGTGGAGGATCGTGATCGCGGTCGCGAAGAGTAATGTAGGCAGCTGGGGAATTAGTTCTATGCTTTCGCAAAAAAGTGTATGCGATCGCAAAGCTTGGCAAGGCAGTGCTACACAAACGCGTGTGTTAGGTCGTGTTCGCGAAGAAGAATGAGGGAGACTGGAGTTCACACGATTTGTTCTTCGCGATCGCGTGAGGAGATTCGCAATCGCGTAGGTCTGGGAGTCTGTGTATCGCGTTCGCAACTTGGTCTTCGCATTCTCATAGGCTGCTTTTGTGGGCAGCTTATTTTTGTTCTTCGGGATCGCGAGGGACTTTCTGCGGTCGTGAAGATGAACATCTAGGTCGACTGTTAAATATCAAAATGAGGGTTAGAGTTATATTTCATAATTTGATTTTAGGAGCACGGATTGAGGCAATTCTTGTAGGGATTTTCAAGTAATTATTGGGGTAAGTGATCCGAACTCAGATTTGGTTAATATACATGAATCTATCATTATTTTTATCATTTAATAGTATTTTGGGTTGGAAAAATTAAGAAAAATTGTATAAACTTTTTATTTTTTGTGGAATTTAAAGATCTTATTCATCACCAGAACAAAGTACAATGAGGAAACAAAAACACTCTATCATCTAGCTATATATAGAAAGTCTCGTACTTACTCTGTTATGCCCAAGTAAGTCTATTTGTTATCCTATTCTGTACAAGTATTAGTTATGTCTATCTCCTATCTATCTATATACTTCTTCCAGCCATCTCATATCCTTGTCCCTTTTCCGCTTGCTGAGTATCTCCATCACTCGAACTCTGCATTCTTTTTTAATTTGGTCGCATACTCTGTGTGGTCTAGGAACTGAGCTCTGCCATAGGTCTTCGTTCCCCCCTTCCATATGTGATAGTTCATTGTTGCCAATACTGCATAAGAGAACTCCTTACTCAATTTGATGAATTGAAGGTCGAGTTGTGATCGGAATTGAGTAATTTTTATATGGTTGGATTCGTGGTTGAATGGGTGTTCGAATTTTGCTAATTTTGTCGGATTCCGAGACCTGGGCCCGGGTTGATTTTTTGAGTTGACTTTTCTACTTTTGTTAAAGAACTTAGCTTTGTCATATGGAATTGATTCCTATAGCTTGTGTTGATTGTATCGAGTTGTTTGTGGCTAGATTCGAGGTGTTCGGAGGCTGATTCGCGAGGCCAGGGCTTATTGGAGTAGAGATTTGCATGGTTTTGAGGTAAATAACACTTCTAAACTTGGTTCTGAGGGTATGAATCCCTGAATTACGTGTTATGTGGTTGGTGTTGAGGTGACGCACATGCTAGGTGACGGACGTGTGGGCGTGCACTGTAGTAATTGTGACTCGGTCGATTCCGTGGTGTTGTGTAGTCATCAAACCTTGTTTCTATTCTTGTGATCCCTACGAGTTAGAGTAATTGAGCTGCAATCCACGTAAGAAGTCATGTTACGCTATATGCTTATCAGGTTGAGACCCACTGGGTCTTTTTGCTATTGAATTATTTGCTTAGATGATAATTTTGTACTCAATCATATCCGTCATTTACATATCGTATCCCAGTCTCTGTTACTATTTATTGTTGTGTTATATATCATTATTTGGGCTGATTGGTATGAGATTTGTGAGCCCGGGAGACTTGAGAGATTAATGACTAAGTTAGGGCCTGAGAGCCGTGTTGTGAGTGAGATTTGTTGATCGCGTTGCACGTCGCAGTAGGCCTTATGGCTTTATATATAATATTATATAGGTCGGGCTACACGCCGCAGCAGACCTTTTAGGCTATATTATTATGGGATCGGGCTGCACGTTGAAGCAAGCCAGATTGGCTTTATATTAGCGCTTGGGCAGGATCCGCCCGTCCGGAGTCTGACATACCAGCAGTGAGCGCATGTACTGTACAGTGCTTAGTGACTGAGTGTGATGAGCGAGAATTGAGACAATCAGATTGAGTACTCTGAGAGTGTGAGTACGTGCATTGTGATGCATCACATATGACATGCACATTTGACAGGTAGATATAGAGATGTGACATTCCTCATATCAGTCATACTTGGTATATTTTATCTGCACTGAGCTTAACTGTTAAACCTGATAGCATATCTACATTCCTATAGAGTGTACCAACAGATTATTAGTTCCTTTTAAATATTATTATCATATTTCCTGTCCTAACTATATTGTTAAAGATTTGTATTTGGACTGTATTGGTTGAGCTCGTCACTGCTTTCAACCCAAGGTTAGTCTTGTTACTTATTGAGTACATTGGGTCGGTTGTACTCATACTACACTCTGCACTTCGTGTGTTGATCCAGGTATTTTTTAGCACGGCGGTTGCTAGATTTGGAGCTTTATCTATCCGAGACTTTTGAGGTAGCTGCCTTGGCGTCCGCAAACCTTGATTCTCCTTCTTTTTAGTTATTTGTAATGTTCCATCTTTCTAGACAATGTTCAGCAGTCAGACTATGTTGTTAGTTAAATGCTCATGTCTCAGTGACACCAAGATTTTGGGGGATATTCTATTGAGTCATGGTATCTTTCTTTTCAGTATTTATGAGATTCTACTCTTGAGCTTATTTTACGATGTTTCTAAATTTAAAGATACGTGGTTTATTGCGATTGTCGGATTTCCTAGTATTGCGATAGGCGTCATCACGACATGTGAGATTTGGGTCATGACAATTGAAGATGTTGTAAAAATTTTACAAAAATTTTATGTAGCTACACTTGAGTTTTTTGGAGCTTATTATCCTACTTTTGCAAATGGTTTAGTACATATAACTGAAATTTCTCTTTTACTCCATAACAAAAAGAAAAAAGGATATAGTTCTGTTGTTGAATCTATGCTAGATAAATTTAAGAAATATTTCTATCCTATTCCCCCTATTTACCTAATTGGTGCTATTTTAAACCCTTCTTTCAAAATGGCCACTTGTCGCTAATTAATTACTGTTTTATATATTTAAATGGATATTGGACCAACTGAAAGCCCTAATGTTGAAACTTGTATTTCTGATCTACACAAACATTTACAAATTTTATATAATTATTATGCTAACATTGTTGATGCTTCTTCTGCTGTAGACAAATATTCCTTCAAGTTCAGTTTCTACATCTGCATCCGGTGCTTTGGAGGATAATGATGGCATTGAAGATTATTTAATTTGGTCTACATTAGGAGAGCATCAACAAACCAATAGCAGGAATATTGATGAACTCCAATACTTGCAAAAGTCACCAGAGCCCCACACAAAGGAATTTCTACCGATGAGTTAGTGGAGGAGCAACTCAAATTAATTTTCTGTTCTTTCGGCCATGGCTCGAGATGTGCTAAATGTGCCGATTTCAACAGTTGCATCAGAGAGCGCATCTAGCCAAGCAAGGCAGCAGCTAGGAGATACCCGTCATTCATTCGGTAGCAACGCTTTGGAAGTTCTACTGTGCTTCAGAGATTGGATAAGATCAGAATGGCGAAATCAAGGGCGTGAAGAGGTAGATGAAACGGAGGACCAAGAAATTGGAGATATAATGGCTTATGGTTCCGATTCAAGCAATGCCGGAAACTAAAAAACTCATGCTGACATGAATGAACCTACCAAAATGATGTAAAGCATGTGATGTACTCTTTCTTATTTTTTATAATTGTTGTAAACTTTTAATTTGCAAGTTCCAAAATAAAAAATCAAAATAGAACTTGCAAATTAATTTTAAGTATTATTTATTATTCAATGAAAAAATGAAACGAAAGCCTTCGGAGTTTGATCCTAACATATTGGTCTATTAAATAATTTTTTGTAGGCACTTAGTTTCAATTTTAAAATTTTAAAATTCGAATTTCAAATTTAAAAGTTTAAAGCTTAAAAGTTTAATTTTATGCCTTAAAATACTTATTTCCTTAATTAAAAATTTACAAACACTTAAGTATCAATTACATTGAATAAGGAAAACCTAATACACTAGAAAAAATAACTCGGCCTGGTCCGGACCCGATAAGCCCGAACCCGAACATGCCCAATTTAACCTGGAAATTCCCAGCCCGCTATCAGCCCGGTAAGCCATCCCACTACTCAGCCCGCCCTATTAACCGGATGGGCTATCTTTTTTCATGTCCAGCTGGTCCGGTTAACACCTTTACTCTAAATACAATCACTAATAAATATTAGTACTATTTTTTATAATTAAAATTATTTATGAACATCATATAAATAAGAAGGGAATGGAAGAGGAATTACACTTATAAATTTTTCTCTATAAAAGATTGTTAACTTCAGGGGCGGAGCTAGCCCTTTGAATTCGGGTTCGGTTGTCCAAATTATGCATTTATTTTAAAAAATCATTGAATTACGTATAAATTGTTAATTTAGAACTCAATTACTTAAAAAAATTAGAATGTTAAACACATAAGTTTCAAATTCTGGCTTTGGCTCTGGTTAATTGGCTCTGGTTAACTTATATGCCCACTTAGTCATTATAAAACTACAAGAAGGTATACGATCTTTTATTTAGATTTTTTGGCCTTATTATTTTTTGCGCAGTATTTTTCCTGATACATTTGACTTCAAAAGAATTTCCTATGCACGTTCTTTTATAAACAAATTTATTTTTGTTATTATAAAAATTTGTTGTGTTGAGAAATTAATCAGGAAAAAAACAAAATGGTTCCAATTGTTTTAACAGAATGAATGGAGATAAAAGAGAGATTTACATGCCGGAGAAGTCACAACTCAAAACTTCCTTTATCCTTTTCAATTGCAGAGCTGAGATGTCTCCAAATTGGGTAGCAGCTGAAGGAACTCGGTGAGCAGTTTTTCTCTTGTGGATTTAATTCAGACATATGTCTATATAATTGCATTTTAGGGGTACTATTATAATTTTTGGAATTGCGTTTATCGAATCTGAAATGAAACTCAAATATTATGTTTGTTACGTTCTTGTTGTGAGTCCCATTTTATATCTAAGATTTAGAAATATATATTAAAAAAGAGTTGGGGTACTTCTGAATTTGGAATTAGGACTTGAAAAATGCCCCAATTTGCTCGACACTGAGAAAGGACTTCCTCAGGTATTTGATTTTCTGCATTCTCAAATTGTTTTCATTTTCTTTCAGAGTACATACTAGAAAATTAGCTGAGCAAAGCTAATTTTGGGATAGAGACGTTTTATTGTTGTTGTCTTTTCACTGCATTTCACAAGCACCTAATTGATTGGAGTTTACAGCAGACTAAATTTTTCCAGGAATTAGCCACGTCCTATTTTTCTATTTTTCTTTTGTACTTTGAACAGTTAATAGTGAAAACTGACAACAAATTTGTTCTTTTAGTTATTCAATCATGAAATGATTCGTTTGGCCATCGATTTCAAATCAACTTGAAATAAGGAATTTTTTGAAGTTGAAAAAACTTGTTTGAGGAGTATTTCGAGTGAAATAATGGTTTCACTCACGATACTTCAACTCTTTTTCCGAGTGAAATTCATGTCACACCTGTTTGGGACATCTTTTCTTCCCCTTTCAGACGGGGCTGAAATATAAGGACGAAAACGCCTGCTAGTCTCCTTTAGTTCCATAATTTCTATGCAACTAATGATCCTCATGGTTGTTATGCTTTTGCTTGCTGGGTGTTTTGTGGAAATTGTTAATGCTGCTTGCAGATTTTTTAGTACTAATATCTATGCTCTGGGTGTTTTGGGAATCTTTGGGGCAGTTTTAATTCTTATTCAGAGTGACGCTTTGGCCCTTGTGTGATCTTGGGATGCCGGAAGATAAAGGTTGGGAAGATCCTCGTTCCGTTAATAGTCCTAGGAGGATCTTAAGTTTCTCCAAAAATAGGACGACCACTGTATTCTTTCCAGATTCAGATGACAGAGGTTCAGGATTTGGTGTTTCTGGAGATCAAGGACCCAAGACTACTGAAGTTTATGGATTTGTTGGCTCCATTACTACTGTTGTTGCTACAGGTCTATTCTTTTAGTTTGTTACTTGGAATATATCCATTTATTTGAATATTTGCTTTTGCCTTTGATTTCATGGTCTGGCAATACAGTTGAATCTTTAGTGGTGTAATGTTATCGTTATGCATTCATCTTCGTTACATGTGAGCCTTCCCTTTTGGTTCCACTGCTTTGCCTTTGTGGCAACTATCTGGATAAAGGGTCGAATTGCCAACTCATTTTTCTTGGAAATCAATGTTAGACTGGATATATTACTCTGCTAACGTTGAAAACAGTTGATATTTCTACAATCTGTTGTCTGTCGTAAAGCATTGAGCTCTCATCTTTTGTATGTATGTCTGCACTCTGCTTTGCTTTAACCTAATTCCACTTGTATTCCAACAGTCATTTGATTTCACACATAGGGAAGTCTGATCTGTCTCTATTATTTTTGTGGACAGTTCTTTTCCTGGTGTGGGCATATCTTCCAGAAAATTGGTTGCATTCTTTGGGTATTGTTTACTATCCGAGCAGGTAAACAAAATGTAGTTCCACTTAACTAGGTTGTGCCTAGCTTCTTTGGTCTGTTTAACACCCGAGCCAGAAGCTGGCTAGTTTTATTCCAATTAACTAGGTTCTGCTTAGCTTCATGGCTGCAAATGGCTTTTGTTTCCAACAAGTGTTGAAAGATAGACTTCTGAAATGTTTTCGGCCTTTTTTGTCCAAGCAAACACAATTAGAGAAAAGTTTCTCGGTTTGTGCAAAAAAAGAAAAAACACCTATGAATCTTTAATGGCGTTCGGTTGAAAAAGAAATTCACCTATTTTTAAACAAATGAAAAACAAAATGCATGAAATTTTGATATATTAACTCCTTACCTGCATGCATTTCAGATATTGAGATATACTGCTCCCACATTTTACAAGTGTACAACTGCATGAAAGGGACTTAAAGCATTTGCAGAGTGTTTGAGAGGAAAATAATTTGCTTGGTGAAGACTTGAGAGCTTAGCTGGTTACCTACTAATTGTCACAAGATGTATGTGACTTCCTGTTAAATTGATGTTCATTTTTCAGGTACTGGGCATTAGCTGTGCCAGCTTATGCGATGACGACTATAGTACTAGCTGTAGGATTTTACATTGGGCTCAACTTCTTGGCTACCCCTCCTCCAACTTCTTTCAGCATGATATATGGTAATTGTAAGCTGCCTTTCTCGTTATGGCGGTGGAAAGGATCTTCTTTGAGTTTCTGTCTTGCACATGCGTAACACAATTTTAGCAGTCTGTTGAGAACATGTGATGTGTAGTTGCTTTACGCAATGGTGGGATCTAGCTAGTAATGTTTGCATTTGGTCTATTCTACAGATGAATTCACGAGAGAACCATTGAGCAATGGCCCTTCAATAGATGACGATGAGCAACCTATAGAGCCTATATCTGATATCCGGATTGATCAAATTAATAACCTCATGTTCAATCCAAAATGACAAAGGATTCTCGTGTGCAGTTATTTTACTTGGGTAGTTTATATTAGTTTCATTTCCTTCATGTATCAGTGAATCTCTTTGATTAACCCAATTCAGGTACTTAGATATTAAATGTAATTTGGATGTGGCATGTCACTAGCGGATATGGGTTTGATTCTGGTGAAGCTGTTACAGAATGCATCAACGACGCCTCTTCAGTGACAACCTGCTCGTTCAGGAATTTTTTTCTTAGCTTCAGCCCATGGCATTGATATTCATAGGGTAGTAATTATGTGACCGTTTGGGTGAAAAATGAAGGTTTGAAGTTAAACATGGTTTCCTTGTTATGTAGGAAGTTGAAGAGGATACTCATATTCGCTCCTGTCATGGCACTCTGATTGTAAGCCTTTCTGACATCCATGTATTGAGACTTAGAGGTACTCATTTGCTTTCCTCCGGATAATTCGTGATAGTAGATATACATGAAAGCAAGAGTAGATACTTCTTTTTCTCTCTGGATAAGGTGGACAGCAAGAGTAGGTACTACTAATAGATCAATTGACTAGCCCCCTCCCAACCCCCTGTGTCTTTTAGACAAAAGGTGCTGTGAGTTAGTTTCATGTGCCTATTGTTATCAGTGGCACGACTTCAGTCAAAAGATGGAAAATAGTCTTTAATTTGTATGCTGATTTGCGCATTCATTTGGTTCTCTTTTATGTATGCTCATCTCATTTGTAAGTTCCTGGACACTTGTCGGTTAAAGATCTCAAATTCCTGAGAGACTGGCACAGAGGTCAAATGAATTGAGTTCTCTTGCTTGAAAAATAGAATTCTTGTTCGGAGAATGATTTTTTGCTGATATTTTTACCCGTATTTGATATTGGATCATTCATAGCATTGGCATACCTTCACTATTGTTTGTGGATTGATTTGTTCAAAGCCAAACTCTGAAACAGGACACAGCCACGGCAAGGTTTGTTCTAAGCCAATGCTGACAAGCAGTCAGCAGGAAGTACAAACTACAAACACACCAAAAACATCCATTGTCAAAACGTTTTTGGAATGTAATGTATTAGCACAAGCAATATAATGGAAGAATGCTTGAATCTGAAAAAGAATCCTTCAAGTGATTGAGCCAACCAGTGACAGAAAAGCACCAGCTAAATTTTCGTTTTTTCCCCTCCTAAAGTGATCCTTCTCTTTACAATTTTACAATTAGTACACATATTTGTTCTCCATTTTTGCCCTTCAACTTTTATCCCATTCTTATTGTCTCAGTAAGTTGAACCGTGTAATTCTTAAAGGGACCAAACTCTCAATGGAGATCACTTCTCTTATGATTGCTTTGGTTTATGCCTATTTTTCTTTTCTTGCTCATTTTAGAAAGATATTTACAGTGTAAAAATCAAGTCTAGAGTCAGAAAATAGAGTCTCAGACTAAAATTCAAGTACAAAAATGAAGGAACAGCCTGAGCAGAATGGCAAATGAATATGTCGTATTACAAATATATAGTAACAATAAAGCAACAATCCAAGCCAAATAATGTGAAAAAATTCTACAACAATTAAAGAATTTTAGGCTGATCAAAGCAGCAACATTGATTCACCCAAGTCGTGAATTTGTGGTATCATTAGAAGGTCTCACACAATTATCTCATCGTACCCATGCTACAGAATCAATCTCATCTCTTGCTTTCTTGTATAGTTCGAGCCTCTTAGCACACTGCATTCTTCTCTCCATCAATGCAGGGTCTTCATCTAACAGTTCTGCAAGTGCCTTGCCCTGAGATAAATTTTCACAGAACTGTCAGCACTTGTATCTAGATACACTAAAGTCTATCTTATTGCAATGCTCATAGAATTTTGGTTAAGGAAAATGTTCCTCCGATTATCAATTCGCTCACTTGTTATTACACTAGCAAGAACCAGCGCCAACATGACAAGATTTCGATGATGCAGAGTCTTTCTTTGAAGAGTAACCAATATTTCCAAAACAACTTAAGAGATGTAAAACTCAAACCCTTAGCAGACTTGTACTCTTAAGCTATAATATTCAACAACACCTTAAAACTCAGTCATATGTGGTAGATTGTATGTCTAATCAAGATAACGGTAGTTTTCATGGGGGGAAAAAGAACTTGAATCAGATTTTTGAGTCCTTGATCTTGCAATGAACAAACGATTGTGTTAAAATTAAATAAACATGAATACAAGGGACACTGAGCAAGTACCTCTTTCTTCCCAATCTGAGTGTAGAAGTAATTTAACAAAGATTGTTTGGCCTCCTTAACTTGACAATAAACCACTGCTTTGGGGATTGTGTTCCTCAATGTATCCGACACCATATTCACATAAGATGATACATTTGAACCTATCCGCCGAAAGTGATATTCTCCGTAGCGGTCTACGGCAGCAGAAGCTTCTGGCTTTCCCCCTTTCTGGTTTTCCATCTCCTGAGGTAGTTTTCTGAAGAAATCCACTGTTAAGTAAGATGATTCCATGTCCACTAGTCTTACTACCGTCTTTTTACCTTCATCCCGAAATTTTTCTAAGGCTTCATTAGAAGCTGCAGCTATTGTAGATTGCAAACTGGGAAACCGCTTCAACTCCTGCTCCACCAATACACATTTAGAAATAATAGGAAAAGGGAGGAAGGGGTTGTGAGAGGGGAGGTAGAAAAAGTAGAATTCAATCCAGCTGCCTGGTCACCATATTACCTGACATTCCCCAATAGATTTCCTCACTAGTTCCTTCAACACAAAGTGAACCTGATATGTAGTTTCGAGGGTTAGTTGCATATAAACTTAACGTCGATAAAAAGCATTAACTACTTGGCCCTGATAAATTTTTAACAATTACTTACAGCATCAACAGAGGCTTCAGCTGGGCCTCTAAAATAATTTAAGGCCCCTTCGATTAGCCGTCTATAACCTTGTTCAGGTGCTATCAAGTGAGGCTGGTAACCATCTGCCTCTGAAACAACTTTCCTCACATTTTGCACAGAAAGATATCGGTCAAACGGGAGTTTTCTCAAAGCAGCAGGTAGTTGGTTGTCAAAAACTCCATAAATTCGATCACCACCAGGTCGACTGATTGACAAAAAGAGATTAATACATGTTAGATATGTTCAAACCAAGCAATAAACTGGAAGTTCATCGTGAATCAGTACAAGCAAGTTTATCCTTTACAGACAAGATAGACGAGTGTGACGTGTCTACTGGGATAAGTTGCCAATTTATTTAAGTTCCTTGTGTTTTAAGGGTACTATACTATAGATCCTTTTGATTTTTCAAGTTCTCATGAGTAAAATTTATTTAAATTCCTTGTGTTTTATTGGTAGTATGTCATATTTGTGGTCCTTTTTCATCCTTTGCCAAAACCCTCTTTCAACTCTAGTCCACCCCCCTCCCCCTCAAAAAAATGGTATATAAAGTCATGAATAAGTTTGACCAATGTCTACTGAAAACCTCACATAGAGTGAACACACGGTCAAAATGTGTCACCAATTTATATATTCCCCTTTGCTTTCTGGTTCTCCACTATGTTCCTTTTGATTTTTTTAAGCACTACACTAATGAAAGTTAGATTATGTGTTACATTAGGTGGTCTCCGAAAGTCCTCTTTACACTCTACTCATCCCCGTCCCAGGCCCCACCCCAAAAAAAGCAAAAGTCTCATCACAGATAACGAGAATTAAGCTGAAAACAATATGGGACTAGCACAGTCTTGGTCCAAATTTCCCTAATATTTGGAAATTTAAGGAAAAAAAAAAAAGTAATCCACTTACCCTCCATCTAGATGCTCCTTAAATATCTTATCAAAGGCACGGCAAAGTTCCAAAATGGTATACAGTTGAGCCTGAAATAGACCAGTTCAGTCACTGAGACTAGCAAAATCTCTTGATCAACAGTAGCAATGAGAGATATAGAAATCAGAGCTTACGCCTGAATCAACAGCAATAGGCCTTCCAAGGTGGTCCATTTCCGATTCAAGCTCATCTATGCTTTTATTGATAAGTGAGGTGATACTTGGTATTCTTGCCTTAATAAATTGTTCCAAGTGCTGAAATGGAAACAATCTGAATATGAACTCTGCTTAACTTATTTAGGAACTCCTCCTTACACGAAAATAACTAAATGTATACCTTTGACAGTAGTTTTGCAAGGTACTCTGAACCCATTTTACTAGCCAGATGCCCATAGTCCGGACTGGTAGCAAAATATTCTCGCTCCTTTCTTCTTGCATAGATCATGTCTACATTTTTGTTTATGTCCGCTTGTGAACGATTCACAATACCAACCCAGGGATGTTGCAAACGATAAGCTCTTCCTTCAAGAACCTTAAATTCGAGGAAAAAGAATCAACTACTCGTAGTGCTACCAAATTACAGTATACAAAGTGAAACAAAGACTCGGAGAGTGAGATTTGGATATGCTATCCAAGTCATGAAGCAATTAATATAGATGGATTAACCAAAATAAAAAATTTGCAGGTAATATAATAAATAAATAAAACTCACATCTAGAGCATTAGTGCCTTTGTCCATCAAATCTAACTTGGTCAACACTCCAAATGTCCTTTCACCTGCATGATAATGATAATGGCAAAGTCGAGCATTGTACATTTCCTAAAATATGGATACTCTTTGACAAGTACTCAAACTACTGGACTCAAGAGTCCCCGAAATGTTAATATCAAAAGATTATACCTGTGGGGTCCACTTCTCTTGCAAGTTTTATTGCGTCGGAGGTGGCAATATCCTGATTGGCAGGAGAAACTGCTAGAATAATGCAGTTGGGCTACATGAGAGGAAAGAGTTCAGATAAAGAGACGGATACAAACCGAGCACATGTCAAAGTAAAATTAGTTTCTTGTTACCTTTTCAACATACGTTCGAACCATATTTTCAATGTCTTCAACTATGGTCTCAGACTGCCCGTCTGCAGTAATGAATATTGTTGCATTGGAGACAGCTTTGATAGACTTAAAAAGAATGCAAATAATGAAAGGACGTATAGAACATACCAACAGCCACTTTTGTTAAACCAGGTAAATCAATCAGTGTTAAGTTGACCACTGCCAAGACAAAACACATAATATGGAGTTAGCACGATAAAGAGAGAATTCTATGCTCTTTAGAGCAGTCACCCACCAAAAGGAACAAGAGAAAAGACCACCCATTCTTGGTATTAGATGAGAACGTTAAGACGAAATACCAAAAGATCAAGTCCATCTTCGATTTTAATTTAGAAAAGCAGACATGTATGCGAAATAACCAACTTCAGAAACAAAAATTTTTGATACTTAACTGTGTTCAGAAACTATTAGAAAACATACTGCTGCATGTAGAAAGATCACTTGTTGGGACCATAAATGAATCATTAAGCACATGTAAAGAAATGGTGGACAGCATACCATTTGGAGAGTATATGCTCAGGTGGATAGGAACAGGAGAAATCTGCTTAGTTTTCCCTGTGATTCGATCAGTTTCATCCGAAATCTCCTTGCGGACAACAGCTGTTAGAAAAATCATAATGAACACACATATTTTGTCGAATCAGAATCTAATACTAATAGGTAAAACTGCTGATACACGTGCTCGAGGGCACACATACATGTCGCTTCACACGCACACACACATTAAGAGAAAGAGAAAGAAGAGCGAAAGAACGAACTAATATAACTAACATTTACTGGTCTGTCTCCATAAACACCAATTCTATTAAGTTGCTGAATATGGCTACTCTTCTACGTACAAGTGATCATGTCTCTCATTTACTTCACTTATAAGCAAAAGTGTCTCTTTGTTACTTCTGACATCATAGCTCTCATGACTTAGTAAAGAGTTAAGATAATTCAGAAATGGGTTTTGGGGGCTGTGGGGGGGG